ATCCCATCCCAGCGGCGTTCCACGCTCCAAATCCCGCAGATTGTAAAGCTTATCAGCCAGATGGACTAGTTTCGCCTGAAAAAAGTTTTGTCTAATTTGGTACGGCGACGCGCGGGTTGCTGAAACCCTGCTTTTGCTGCTTTAATTTTCTATTAATTCAAGACCGAAATAAGAACTTGTTCACTAAAAGACAGTGATTTCCCGCGGAAGCTGCAGAACGCTAACTCAAGATTTAACACATTTCTGCCATATTGCGCCTTCTTGTCTCCTTCTAAAGCAACATTGAAATTGCGTTAGTAGTGCTTTAGTAATCGCAGCATTTAGAGGAGGGGAATGGGACGAAGCAAAGAGAAAGAAATCTGAACAGAAATTTTTCGGCCCATCGATTTTTGTAAAATTCTTTTCAGAATTACAACAGGACCTTATCAATACGAAGGTTCTGACGAAATAAGTTATAGAAAAAAGAAATTAAAAATAGGAAAAGGAAAAAATTGAGGAATGCCAAAAGATGGAACGGCGGCAAGTTTTAAAGACATATTCATTCCGAATACAAATTTCTTTTAACTACAGTCTGGTTGTTCCCGCTTAGCGAACTGACATTTACTAAACTTGGCTCTTCTGTTAAATTGAACTGGTGGGATGCGGTCCAGTTTTGTGCTAGTGGCCTACAGTTCGATTATGCTGTAAGGGAAAGAAAGTCTTAGCACCATGGAAACGAAGCTGGCGACTAAGCGCCTTCGCTCTGCACAGTTGCTCTTCAGTTCGTGGAAGATGAACTCCAGTCATGAGAGTTCTCATGACTCGAGTTCATCTTCCTCCATCCCCTTCCGCTACCGTAATATATAACCCAGGCAGAAACGCACCGGCTCTCCGGTGCGATTATGCGTTTTTGCACGAAACTCGCAGATCGCTATTAGCAGGAGTGATCCCTACGCTGTAGCCTAACACTTGGGCTCACATTTGCCGTGCTTTGATCCTCTCCGGCATGCAGGAAGAAGGACGTCAGCTGGGATGAAAGTGGTGCATAATGGAGCCGCACGGACATCCAGGTGCATGATTACCGGTTTTTTGCATGAAGTCCGGTCGTTTTTTCGGTAAACGCTCGA